AATTCAGAGCTCTCTTGTGAGTCATGCTGCTAAGAATTGTACGCTTAATCTTCAAGACTGTATGAATTTGAATTTTGACTTTATGGCCTTGGTCGGTATGAGGATACAAAGATAATCTTTTAGCAAAACACTTGAAAATGGTAGAATGTTACATGGAAAGCTAGCTTTTAGAGATGGCTGGTGGATAAATTTGCTGTTACTTTTTTCTTTTAAGTATCTGGATTAATCAATTAGCCAGTATGTGATGACCTGATATGACCAGGCACAGTGCTAGGCACGCAGCGAATTCCCAAATAACTCTCGGCAGACTGTTCTCAAGGAGCTTCTCAGCAGGACAAGGGGATTAAACATACATATAAATAATTTGTTCAAGGAAGAATGTAATAAATGCATGAGAATACCACTGGCGTTCAATGGAGAGGAAGTTCCTTTTAAAAAAGGAATCACGGAAGACATTATGGGTGTGGTGGCATTTGGGCTGGGCCTTAAAGAAGAGCGTGCTTTCCCCTGACAGGGCAGCAAACGGGGGTTGTGGGCAGAGAGAATGTCATCAGGAAAGCTGTGAGTGTCGGAGCATAAGGGTTTTGTTGGGCTGCAGCACAGGCTACACTTCGGAGGAGATACACTAGGCAGGAGAAAGTCCTGAACTCCGGGGGAAGCTACGATCTGGGTAGAGGTACAGCCGGGTCATGAGAAGATGGGTCCTGAAGCAGTAAGGACCGAGGAAGTAAAAGGCGACAGAATCTAAGTAGAGGGAAGGAAGAGGCAGGCAGGTCGCTAGGAGGCTCTCCCAACAGGTCAGGTAATGCGGCTGAAGGAGAATGATGGAAGTGGGGGGACAGGGAGAGGCAGCAAGTCTAGAATGCTCAGCAACGTGGAAGACAAGAGAGGGAGGGACAGCCGTCACAGGAAACCGAGAGACCGTCGTTCGCCGACAGGAGGGACAGTGATGCTGTTCATAGGCCAGAGTGGAGAGGAACGTCATGTTTGTGGGAGAGAGGATGATGACTCATTTTGAGCAAGCCAGCAATGCCCAGGAGACGCTGGAAAAGTGAGTCTGGATGCACACTCAGTGGTGGAGTTGGAGAAAGAGACGTGGCCCTTCTTCACCCACAAGTACCTGTAAGTCACGGCAGCGGGTGAGCATGTCCAGCGTGACAGTGTGGAGACAGAGGGAAGAGGAGAGAGCTGGGAGCTAGCCGGACTGTGAGGTTGTTTGCCAGAAACACTGAAAGAAAATTGGCAAGGTGCCGGACCTCCCCCAGCCCTGTCCCCAAGCCTGGGAGATGGACCAGGAAGAGGAAAGAGAATGCTGGAGAGAAAGCATTCAAGAAAACTGCTTTTAGAGGACTAACCCTGATTGCTGGTCTCAGAATAATCAAAGCCTATGATTATTTGCAGATTCCCCTCCCTCTCTTTCTCTTTTTTTTCCCTTCTTTCTTTCTTTTCTCCCCTCCTTCCTTCCCTTCCTCTTCCTTCCTTGCACGTTCTTGTTTTATTTTGGACTGGCCTACGGCATGGGTGGCCACTGTTGACCTAAGGAGGAGTTAGGATTCACCACTGTCACCTACAAAGGGGTAACTGTCTTTTCAATATTTGTCTTTACAGCTGATTGTGGAGGAGGGAGAGCATCTCTGCCCCACAGTTGTAACACTTTGGGCCTGTTAAAGCATGACGCATATATTTGCGATGTGACAACATTAACATTTTTCTAACTCTTTTTTATACAACTTTTTACTTCTTTGTACTGCTCTCAAGAGCCACTCATAATATCTTGGTAACTGCATGAGATCCCAGGGCCAGAGACTGGCCACTCCTGGCATTGTGATTAGAGTCATTTAATACCCAAGGCCATGACTAACGTCTGGCAACAAAAGCTCCTCTAGGTGTCACATGTCCTGGGACCTTGGGTGAGGGCAAAAAGGGAGCACCTTATTATTGTGAGTCAGTACCATGGTCAAGAGAAAAGTCGAGGACCAGGCGGGTCCATCCAGGGCACCAATGAGAAGTGACAGACCCTCACCACAATCAATACCCGTGCAACCAGAAAGCCTAAAATCAGTTTCAAGTAGCGATACCCACCTTTGTCTTATCTTCATACCCAGGCTTTTAATAATATATATCTATTTTTTTGTATGTTTACAGAAAGCAGTCAACGGAGCTATTCGTGGAAAGGTTTGTGGGTTTGGTTAACGAGGTGGAGGAGTATTACATTTCAGCTGGAAACACATCCCTAGAATGCCAAAACATTTATTCCAAAGTCTGGATTCCTGGTGCAATCGGAGGCACACGGCAATAGTGTGTCTGTTCGGAGGCTGGGGGCTAGAGTTATAAAATTTGATCGGCGTATTCCAGAAGGCTTTTATTGTTAAATTACATTCTTCAGGAAAAACCGCCCGTGTCACATTTTGTAAACTTGATATCCATACACTTTTGACTGGCATTCTATTTTAGCCATAAGCCTATGATTTACAGCAAGCCTGTTTTCCCTCTTGCTTAGGGTGGCAGCAGAAAGCTTGGGGCGCTCTCCGGGCTCCAAGGATGAGGAGCAAAAGGCGCCCGGGTTTTGCTTCTCCCCAGTAACGCTGACCCTGGCTGTGCCACTCTGCTGTCAGGGAGCAGACAGCAAGCTTCTCCTCACTCCCCCCTGCCATCCATCCAGCTGGGTGCAGCAGCTCGGGCTGCCGTGCCTGCCGGGAGGGGCTGCCAAGTGCCCTGCCTACTGGCTGCCTCCCGAATCCCTGCCATTGCACACACAAACACATCCACACACGCTCTGCCTCGCTCACACACGGAGCTACACGCACACGCGAGCGCATTCCTCCCTTCATTCTCTGTCTCAGCCCCTGACTTCCACAAGCCCATGGAACATTTCTGGAAAGACGCTCTTGATCCAGCAGGGTAGGGTTGTTTTGATTTCTGTCTTTGTAGCTTTAGCATTTTGAGAAAGCAACTTACCTTTCTGGCCAGTGTCTGTATCCTAGCAGGGAGATGAGGATTTGCTGCTTTCAGTTGGTTTCTGTGTGCATCTCCTTTTCCTTCCAGGACTTGTAGGATTCTTTGTGTAATTTATGTATAATTGGGTGGGTACTGATTTTTAAGAGCCCTATGAAGTGCTTTTGCATGTGTTTAAAAAAGACATTTGAAAATTGGAAGTGTGATTTATGGAAACGAAATCATCTGTAAAAAAATTGCTTTGGAAAGTAATGGTTGCTGGCCATAAAGAGACATATCTGTGATTCACCTAATGTGTTTTTAACCCTTTCTTTGCCTACAGTCTATGGCTATTGATGCTAAGCTCAATTTCGTCTTCATATTAAACTAACTACATCTTCATATTGTCCAAAAATCGTCTGTCTGTTCTTGTAAGAACTAGGTAAAATGTGTACTTATCAGTATTAAAAAAAAAAAAACAAAACAAAAACCACCTACTCTTAGTAACAGCAACCTTGGCATTTATCTGTGCCACGAACATTTTGTTGGGTACTCTGTTGGGTGTTTGGAATAGCAGTTAAAGCAAAGCATTGATGATCATATCAGGTAGTTATATCAGAGTCTATTAGGCTGGGGCAAAGGAAGTTTATCACAAAGTAGAAATTACCGAGGATTGTGGGTGCACAATATATTACCCATATCTTTTGTGTGGTGTATACAGATAGATATGTTGTTTGTGTGTGTATGCTTAGATTTTAATTCAGTTACAAACTTTTTTTCTATTTCTTTTTCATCTGAATATTTGATTCTGCATAGCCTAGCCGAAGTGAACGGAAAAGGTCCAGTTGTAGGACTCAAGAACAGAAATGTAGTATTGCACGTCAAAATTTGTTGGTTAGACCACCAGTGTAACATAGTGGCCAAAGAGTTGGTTAATGAATTGAGGTTACATTTCGTATGAAAAGGTCACATTTCATATTCAACTTTCTGAAGTTTTGGTTGCATAACCTGTGGAAGACACGAACACCCATGTGTGCCTAACCAGAGGTTTTTGTGAATCATCGTTCACATGAGAATTCATAATGGGAGCAAGTACAGTACTGTGGTCCAACACAAACATGCAAGCCAGGCTGGGAGCATCTCAGAAGGTCGTGGCTAGAAGACCACTCTGGGGCAATTCTGCAGATGAGGAAACTGAGGTCTGGCACTGTGCTTCTGATGGCAGAGTGCAGCTCTTCCTGTAGGTACACCTTTGAATCTGCG